AGCTATCATAAGACAAGGAGAAGAAGAAGGACAGGAAGAGAAGTATCGTTCCCCGTCACCAAGCACTAACTATCAAAATAGAGATCGTTACAAATGATGTGATACCGGATAAAACCAATATTGGGAAACTACACGAAACATTACAATACGAAATGAGTCAAGCATAACAACGACAGAAGGAACAATACGATAAGCACCGAAGACCAGATCCGAACATACGACCAGGAGATATGGTATGGCTAATACCACGCAATATTCATACAACGCGACCAGCAAAGAAATTGGACTACAAGAAAATAGGACCATTCCGGATACTGGAAAAAGTGGGCAGTCGAGCTTATAAACTCGACCTTCCTCCCTCAATGCGAATACACAACACATTCCACATCTCACTCCTTGAATTACACAACGACAATAAGTTTCCTTCACGAACACTTATTCCTCCTCCACCGATCAAACTCGACGGAGAACTAGAATACGAGCTCGACGAAATAGTCGATTCCCGCTTCTTCCACGGTCACCTCCAATACCGAGCCAAGTGGACAGGATATTCTCCAGAACACGATAAAACTTGGTACTTCGCACATAACTTCGGAAACGCACGAGATGCCATCTCAACCTTCCACCAACGATACCCAGGCAAGCCCGGCCCAGGTGACGATCACGTTCAACCAAGACAAAGGCGAGGGAAAGACTCCTGTGCCCTTGTAACAACACGAAGGCTGGGGCGATAGCCCCTGCCAAACCACACCCACTAGCCCCAAATACTCATTCATGGGGCCAACCGATGAAGCGCTCAAGGAAAGGGAACAACAAGCACAGTATAACGCTATGTCATGGACGGTATGCTACGATGACGGTTGCCAAACACACTTTGGTGACAAAGAAGGCTCGGGATGGTTCCCGAGAGAATGTCAAAAATGTGGCCCATGCCCGGACTACGTTCTAAAGCATTGGCAACAATGCTTCAGAAATGGGTGCAGAATGCACAGGGCACAGAAAATATCTGCGGGATTCTACCCACAGAAGGATGGAAGCAGGAAAGAGTTGGAAGGAGAGGATGCCAGAAAGGCATGGGCCGCGAGGATGCAGTCCAGAGAGGGAGGGGCCCAAAACTCCTCAGCAGACACGGAACCGGACGTGAGGAGCCTTCACAGGCAGATCCGGGGACTCTGAGAACATGTTGGCCAAGCCAAGGCCACAATTTTGGCAAACGACAAAACAATCGCGGAGTTAAGACAGCTGAATGATAATCAGCGGCACACAATCAAGATGGCAAATCTGACCCTGGAATCAGTAAGGGTCAGGTGGAGGATGGCAGACGAAAAGTTCCACAAGCTGAGAAGGACCATGCACTCGGCAGGACGGGAACTATTGAAACTGGGAGAAAAAGCCTGATGGGACTCAGGCTTAGGAGGAGGGGAGCTAATGTCACGAACGTGGCTTAGCACGAAACGGGTTTTCACGTGACACATGGTTATGAGTCACAAGTATGTTATTGTTTTGCGCAGATGACCTATTCGGGTTATATGATTTGTTATGTGTGAGATTTGTGATGCTTTCGCACATGGCTCAAGTATGAGTCATGGGACGGGCGCCTGACAAGTATGTCTTGCGAGGGTACCTTGCAGGTAAGCCTTACGCATATGATTTATGTTTCACACATGACCTCATTATGAGATCATGGGTTTCATGCATATGACTCAGTCGAGTCATATGACTTGTTTATTGCGTTATGATTGGTTTATGAGTTTTGTACATGACCTTGCTATGAGGTCATGGATTTTGAGCATGTGATCACTTTGGTCATATGATTGGTTTGTTATGATTTGGTTTCGCACATGTGACCACTTTAGGTCACATGACTAAAGGCGGGAAGAACGCTATATAAGGAGGCCGATACGGCTGAGGAAGATAGGTTCTTCACGCTTTGTTCTAAGTACTTTTCCTACTTATTACTATAACAAATAAAAAACACTTTTACGATCTTTATCTTTATTGCAACGTTATCGTTGCGCCGAGAAAGGGCTTCGAAGAAGACAAGTTAGAGAAAGCTTACGATAGGCATTCCCGATAGAAGACAAAGGTCTTGTACTATCGGCAACGTGAGCATAGGCCTATAGCTAGCATTAGACAAGGAAGAAGACAGAAGAGATAAGTATCGTTCCCCGTCGCCAAGAAGCTAACTACCGAGACAGGGATCGTTACAGTAGTTTTGTCTCGTATATAGTAGTCACATATAGTTGTTTATATAGTAGTGTACTCATTTCTTTCAGGTACTTCAAATTTTAGTTCTACTTAGTTAATAATGTCTTGAAGGCTTGGACCTTTGTACGATCATGTCTGACTTACTCTTGTATCAAAATACTCTAATGACATCAAACAATTGTAAAAAAGAATTGGTAAAATTGTATAGAAAATGAATTAGAGAGGATAGCAGATTGGAAAAGAAAAATAGCTTGGCTGATATCAGAATATCGGATTATGATGTTTTGAAATGTTAGCGGCTTGTAGTAATCTAATAATGATATTCCTGAATATAGATGTAAAAAAAAAAGCTAAAAATTAAAACCTGTTCTCAGTAAGTAAAATAAATATTAAAAAACTCCTTAAACAATAATGAACAGCCTTACTATTTTTCCCATATCTCTTTCTCCTTAGTCTAACTGCTTTTCTTTCATTCTTACTTCAGAATCTCAATCCTTAAAAGGACCTACTAGTTAATATTCTGGGAACTTCTAGGACCATACTCAAATGATAACTTTTAACAAGTATATCTAATGGCATTAAATGCTGGCAAGCAATTCATGAATTTGAATTCCAGATCCTGATTATAAATCTCAATCAGATAACAAATAAACCTTATCTCTATCCCTACACTAATCTCTTATTCAATTTCCTCCAAGATTCTCTCTGCAATTTTACCTCCAAGTGTACCTCCAATACTATATTCAATCTCATTTCTAACCTTGATACCTTCAATCCTGCTATGATAACCTTTGTGAATAACAGACGTTAGAAAATGCTAAACCTATACGCATATCAGGACTAAGAAACTACTATAATATGAATGATAGTAGACAATATTAAATTTGTAGACAGTATAATCTTAATAATAATATAGACTATATGAATGTAATATTAAGAAGATATTTCAGGCACATTTCTAGCTAGAAGGTAAAAGGTATAAAGGCAGATTGGTAGAGATTCTTGTCTTTAATTCTCTGTAAATGAAGCAGACAGTAGCATCTATAAACATTATTATACAGGTTTGTATCCTTCACATAGAACTCATGTAATAGAGAACTATAATATTAGGATCACTTGTCAATCGCTCCTAAGATATATTCGTCAACAGGTAATAAGTCTTATTGTAGAAGTAATATATATTATTACTTACTTCTTCTTCAATATAGTGACAGTCTCATAGTTGTCTCCTGTTCCTTAAGAAAATACTCTTATTTTCTTAAATACTATAACAACAACTATTATTCACTATACTTGTCATGAGTTTCCCATAAGGGTGATATGTGAGGTGTGAATATGAAGTAGTATTCTTAAAGATATATGTAAGGAAATAACTTAGATGGTTGCATGAAGATCTATCTCTAAGACCAAACCTATCATTCTATTGTAACCAGTATGGGCACTGGGTTACACGTTTTGTTTTATGTTTTGAGTATTGTTTGATAATTGGTTTTGTTTTATGTTTTGTTTTAAGTATTACTTTGATACTCAGTTTGTTTTGAGCATTGTTTGATACTTGTTTTGTTTTAAGTATCATTTAATACTTGGTTTGTTTTATCATCATTTAATACTTGGTTTTACTTTATGTTTTAAGTATCATTTTGATACTTAAGAGATTTTACCAAAGTGTATTGTTTGATACCTTTGATTAGTTTCATTCATGCTAGATATGAACAGACTCATCCACTCAAAGACCGCATGATTCTATGATGGAAAAGGTAGACTTTGACAGACAGTATTTCAATATGCTTAGTTGAATGGTTACCTTATAGTTTTCCCAGTTCATCTTTGAAGTCTCCTTTAGTTTTCAGCTCTTGTCTCCCCTCTGGTAGAGTAGGCTACCTGTCTAGTATCATACCTTACCCCGAAACATGATTAGTATCTTGCAAACACATTACACTTATATGGACCTTTCTACAACTCTCTTACAAATCCAATAGTCATATGGATTACAGCTACATTCCATATGACTACCTAAATATTTATCCTTATAACCTCTTCTCAGGTCATATGCATAGCTCCCATAACCCCTAAACAGGTCATGTGTGCAAAATCCAAGTAAGACTTACAAGACTTACTCCTATCCAACTAACAATCTCGATTTAACATAACAATCATAACTTAAAACTCAAGTGATATGCAAAACCCACATGATCCCAAAATAGGCCATGTGTACAAACAATAATTATAACATCATAAAACTCAAATGAGTCAATAATTAAAACCATATCCTACGTGACCCCTAAACAGGTCATGTGTACAAACATCAATCATGGTAAATGAAATTCTTTACAAATCACACCGGTTTTGTAACACATAATAAGAAATATAAGTGCAACCATGTAAAACCATAATATAAGTAGAAAAAGTATAAGGACAAACATATTTGATCCTGAAAATCTGCCAAGATATTCCCATAAAGCATGCATTAATCAGAGAGAATGTGAGAGGAATTACCATAAATCTGAAGAAATAATACTGGGTGTAAAGTCTTAGAAAATATATAAAGATGATAAAATATCCTGTAAATCAAAGAAAGTAACACATACATAATTCCTAATTGTTATTACCAAATGTTAATGAAATAACATAAAACAAGTCCTAGCTGTAGTAATATATGCAGTGTTTAGGTTTACTGAAACACTAACTTAGTATAAGAAATTATATGCTATTATTAATAAAATATACATATGAAATGAATCAGGAATTTTAATACTACTTTTCAGAGGTAGCAAGAGGTAACTTCTTATATATTCCACAAGGCGCTCAAAACACCATCCAACGAAGGGAGAACACGATCAAGCCTCCCACACCGGAATTCCTGGGAGCCCGGTACAACGTACTTAGCGAATCAAAGAGGAGACACAGCCGCTGCATTGCTCTGTGCTGTTTGTGTCCAAGTACTAGTACAGTGCTCGTAGTATTGGCCGATTTATAAATTGCTAGGAACCCTTCTCGGGACGGGGCACATCGTGGAACTGCGCGGGTGCTTTGGTGTATGCGGGATGTTGTTCTTGCTTCCTGATCGCACACTGCACCGTCTATCTCCTCCTACTCGAGTAGCCACCAGCCCGGTCACCGGGCAAGCGGCCGTGGGGAAGGTTATTTGTTTTTGGGGGGGAATGATAGATAAAATATGGCTCCACACTGGTACCGGTATCACGGTTGGGTTGCGATTCTGCATGCGTATGGCAACAACGCTGCTCGTAGTTGTGTGGCCCCCATCTCTCGCTGCAGGCCCACCGAGACTCCCGATGGATAGATCCGAGCTGCAAAGAATAGGCACCGATAATTCGATTCAGTGGTCGTCTGGCTGCTTTAGATGTGGCTGTGGTGACTTATACTCGAGGATAAGTTGCCATCCCAGGGTAAAATACCGTCTGCACAATACTGGATGTATCGGTACTGTAAATTCAAAACCCCTAATCACAACCGCGGGCTCAGGAGAAGCATAGTAATAACGCCTTGTCACACGTAGAGCGCAGGTACACTCGTAGTAGTACGACGACTAGTTAATAAACCCAATTGGTGCGATGCGGCAGAAATGCGATTCCTCCCGCTATTACAAGTCAAGCCAGTTTTCACCACAAATACTACGAGTATTTCCAACAAATATAGGTAAAAAGCCCCTAATTAAACCGATCATAATATACACACACGACGCCCAGTCACTCCAAAGGTTAAAGATTCGGGTGGGAAAAAAAAAGAAAGAAAAAATGCAATTCCATAGATGTTTCCAGTTCGAGAAAACCCTCATAACTAAACCCATAAATTATCATTCAGTCAAAGTTCAACGTGAACCACCCCTTACAGAAAGTGATCAACGTGTCGGCATCTCAGCAGCGTTAACTGGCGGCGGCGGAGGCGGAGAGCCAACTCCCGCTTGCGGGTATCCAACCACCTGTGAATAAGGAGCTGGTGTAGCCGACGGAGAAGCGATCGGCTGAGGTGTTGCTGTTGCGTTGTAGTACACCGGCGAAGTAGTGTTCTGGTACGGCTGCGGGGTGAGCGACTGCTGGTAGTGTTCGTTCTTTGGAGGGTCCTGGTAGTATTGGGTTTGGTTGGGGGCGCTGTCCATCGCGACGGCATCGGGAACGGCGGGGGCGGCAGCGGCATGGTCTGGGAGAGGATTCCCATCTGGGTCCATACCCGAGTTATATTTGGCCCCCCGGAGATCCTTTCGGTTCTTGGCGAGGATTATGGCCGCGAGAACGAGAGAGCCAATGAATAGAAGCCTAGAGGGAGGAGGGTTCGTTGGTTTCAAATCCCAAAGTAATGGTACATCTCGCCATTGGAGAACTTACATAAGAAGGAATGAAAGGGCAAAGGAGGCCTTGGAAACTTGACAGACGGTACTTGTGTAGGTAATAAGCCAGTACCAGTCGGTGAGCTCACAGTCGCTTACAGAAAGGTACCCGCTATCCCCGGTTCCAGCCATGGAGATCAACCAGAACACTGCTAGGAAGGCATCGGTGATCGTAATGGCTAGCGGAAGCAGCAAGTTTGAGAACAAAAGGAAGAAATTGATCCCGATATAAATGAGGGTCAAAAGTGCGGAGACAAGAGTCATACATGCCCACCTAACAAGCAGACACCCTTGCTGTTAGTCCAATGGTGGCACAAAGCAAGTAAACAATGATGAATCAGAAGAAGGAAGGGAAAAGGCTCACCAGTAATCAATCACCGAGACGATGTATGCAGACAGTCCCAACACTATGATGGCGAGAAACAACTGCACACCCCTGAGGGTGATTAGTATCTTCGAAGGCCAACGAGCATCCTGAACCATGGCGAAAGTTCTGATATAGTTCCCTCTTCTTTTGCCTTTCCCGTAGTCTTAAAGATTTCCTGGTGATCGTCGCCGGTGAGTTCGCTAAAAAAACGGCGAACAACGAGCGAACTCTCAAGGAAGGGTACAGTGCAAAGCAGATTTAAAGCAAATTTCCATGGAGACCAGGCAATGGCTTCTTTATAGATCGAGAGCGAAAGCGAGAGAGGGGCGGAACTTTCCCTCTTCCACCCATCCATGCATTACCCATCCACCCACCTCAGAAGAAGGCCCAGCGCCAACACCACCCCCCCATGTCCCACTACACTCTCTTTCCCCCTTCATGTGACAGAGAGCCAATCACTTGCTTTCCTGGCTGTCTCACAAAGCAGCGAATAATGGCAAAACTTGGTTACTTGCGCGATGGTATCATTCTTGGAACGGATGGAGACGAGGCTGAGTTTGGGCCTAGTTCCATCGTGTCACACATGGCGTTTGTCTTTTGTTTTCTCTCTTTTTTCCTTTTTCTCCCCTTCTCCCCCGAATTATTTTGGCGCTTGTGCAAGTATGCCGTACTCGAGTACTCGTAGGAGAGTTTGCAGTCACCTTGACTGTCAGGGGGGGACCAAGACAAGCTTGTGGTGAATTGGGGTATTTTTTTTGTTTTCCGAGTCGCAAACAGTTGGATCGCGCACCCGAAGCACGAATACTCGAGTACACAAGTGCCCACAAGAAAGTTAGTGAATGGTTAAGTTTGGTTAACCTGCGGAATAATTCCTATCTTGTACGAAAACATCTCCCCTGATGCTATATTTCCCAGCCAACGGTATCGGGAAGGTTTTTTTTTCTGCCGAGAGTATGGTATCGAAAAGTTTTACTCGTACATGCTCGCAGACGGGGTCAGTATGAGTGGGGAATAATAAGTTCCACGACACAAGGTTGGGGTGAAATAAACCCCATCCGTACAAATTGGGCTTACAGAGATTGCCCGAAACTCCCAGAAGCTCACCAGATCCTCTAAAATTCGCATCCTAGCGAAAGGCAGACACCAATGCAACTAGGCTGGCTTTCTAATTTCTATCATACAATCCTGCACCAAGCATACTGTACGTACTAGTACGGGAATCGATCACATAATCCCTATCCTGCCACCACAATTTTTTCCGGCCTAAGGTACGAGTACAGTACCCGAGCACCGTGCCCCAGCACCCTGCCCCAGCAGCAGTCGGTACGATTTCGTCCCCCCGCCATGTAAGAGTACCGGTAGACTACTCTCTGGGTTGGGTGGTGTTTGGGGTTGCCTCATACCTGCACCGTTTGGCTCTGCCGACCAGCGGTAATTCCTCTCCTTTCTCCTTCTCTTCCTTGCCCCATTGGCTACAGGTCTCCTGCTCGTTTAGCAGATTTATTGGTTTTGTCCCAGAGAAGTGTGTGCCTGTTTGGAGTGCGGTACCGGTAAATTATCGCACGAGCACTTGGGGTGTGTACGAACACCGTATGGTGACAACGGCAGCTCAACTGGGACGGTACTCGAGTACGGCACTGTTCCACCACCACCATGAGCCTGTCACTACTCGTACTGTACTGTACAAGTACGAGTACTAGTACAAGCAGTACTAGTACCGCAATTTACTTGTACCTCCCAGCGTCGCACAACGGGCGGCTTTGTCGCTCGAGAAATCATGCTCGTTGCGGGCGGGGGGTGTTCGGAAGCACGGGTGGAGAGTTTGTCTGGGCGCTCAGATGCGCATGGGCTTCTTGTAATGATCCTTGGCTAGGTGAATCGGCACCAAAAGTGTGAAGTTTGGCGCTCCCTGCACAGAGCCGCATGGCTCAGCCTCCTTGCGGAGGACTCGAGCACGAATTGAGTCTTGCGGGTTGCAACAAAGGAGTTGTCGTCCGGTCTCCGTGTTTGAAGCGCTGTGGCATCTTGCGCGGAGTTGAGCGGTTATCGGCTTCGAACTGGGGTATGAATTGAATGAATCACACGACTAAATTGATGGGCTCGCACTCGCAGAAAGAAGGCGGAGATGGCTGGGGCTCCCGGGGAATAAATAGTACAAATTGTGCTCTATTGTGCTAAAAAGTACTGCGCCACAGTACTGTACCGGTACGGTATGCAGGACTCGGGGGACACCGCTAAGGGGGGGGGATTATCGTGGAGATCCTGTGGGTATCCTGGCTTATGTCTGAGGGCGTCATGGGTTTTCTATCCCCCCCGTTCACTCGAGCAGTGTCGTGGAGCTTCGTAATTGGAGCCTGAGTGATGTATCATAGTCAAAACCCCCCTTTTCTTGAAAGTGGACGAAAAGCACTGCCCCTTTCCCTCTTTCTGGACAGACAAGAGAAACGGGGTCCCCAGACGTGGTACTGTACTAGTGCCAAGTACTCGAGTACAAGGTTCAATTATTCGAGTTTTTTTTACGCTGTCTGAAGAACACATGAAAACTGGCCTGCGTTTTCCTGTGTGTATCGTACTGGTACCGGTACCGTGCTCGAATACTCGCAGTCTGCATGAAGCCGCATCCGCAAGGTTCTCATACGGTACCGGTACTGTACCGGTAATGTGCGAGTGTTGTGCTGTACGGGCACGGTACCATAGGATGGGCTTTCCTATGGAATTTGTACAAGTATTATTGTGGACCGGTACTCGTAGTCACATACCGATATCAAAGCGCGAGGGATGGGATCATCTACAGCCCCATTTCGTCTTGTCCACCCTTGCTGAAATACAGTACGAGTACAATACAGTAGCAGCTTGCACATTGTTTAGCGCGCCATGTGCTGGTATAAGTGCCGTACTCGAGGACTAGTGCTGTGGTCTGGTATTGTGACTCGAGTACGAGTTACGGAGGTACAGCGCCTAAGTTTTATATATTACACTAGTAGTGGGCATTTTGTTAGCAACTGGTGTAACATACAAAACTTAGGAGCTGTGCCTCCGTAGGGCTTGAGAATTTGGTGGACGCAGCTTTCTGGCGGGCGGTTGCCCCCCGCAGCACTCCGAGCCCGGTTATCAGTAGCGCATTGATGACAAGCCTTCCCAACCGGCAGCTCAGTCGCCCGCGCGAGATCATTTTTGATTCATACTTATAGAAATTAGAACACTGGACTAGGTGCTACGTACAGTACAAGTACTAGTATCAGAGAAATTTTGACTCAGTGGGATTCAGTCATTTCGTTACTTAAACGGACTTTTGTCAAACCTTTGTAGCGCTTTTCTCTTGATTCAAGGGACTAGAGTATAATATATACTATCGCTACGAGTAGAGTGAGTAACAATAAAACATCCTGCCGCATTTCGACACTAAGGTTTGATACCGGTGCTATTTAGTCCTCGTCCTCATCGTCCTCATCGTCCTCCTCGCCTAAACCATCGCTCATACCCCCCAGATCGTCGTCCCCTACGTGGTCACCAATGCTTACTTCCAGTACCAATGCCTCCTCTTCTCGATCCCCTTTTACTCTCTCGTAGGGGTACTTCCAAACGGACTCCTCAACCAAGGTTGGCCGGTCACCGGAATTCCTGATTTTGTAATTGACCTTACGGACCAGAATCCCCAGAACATTTTCCCCCAAAACCTTCCCCTCCACATACCCTTCTCCTTTAACCAAACCCGTAGCTTGAGCACTGCCATGTGCCGGGAGCCCCACGGCCTCGAGGGGAACGTGCATGCTGATACCCGCTTCCTCGCTCCTGTCGATCCTCTGCTTGAAGACACCGTCTATGATGACCTGCAATCCGACGACAAAGTAGACCGGTTTGTGGTATTGGGCCATCTCGTTCAGCCAAGCCTGGACTTCCGATTCCTGCACAACCTTTCGGAATATGGCGTCAGGCTGTATGAGCTCTAGGTGGAAAGCCGTGCGGGCGTAAAGACCGATCGTGTTTACCGTGCGAACTCCGAAGAATGCCCCGAAAAGTTTTGTGAAGGATGCTTTGAGCTTTCCCGATTTCTCCAACGTGAGGGTGGCTGTGTACTCGCTCTCCTCTAGCTTTGAGTAGTCGTCTTCCGTGATTGGCCTTTCAGGTATGCACGAGCTGAATGAGGGGTTTAACGGGTTCGGCAAGAGTTGACCAAGGTTAACGAGTGAGAGTGGGAAAACCTTTGGTAACAGAACAGATTTTGTCGGCGGACTCATGTTCTCAGCTGTGAGATTTTGCTCGGGTTATGTTGGTGCTTTCTTTCCCCTCCTTTCTTGGGTGGCGATCTGGCTGTGGGAGTGCAAGAAGCATGGTGGTGATTCAAGAGGAAATTCGAATCTTTTAATTTGCTATTGCATACCACCAAAATTCTGGGGCTCTGGCCCATTATTGGCTTCATGCAGGAGCAGGTTAGTGCTCGAGTATACAAGTACTCATAGGGATCTGGAATGTACCAGGATCTCACGGTCCGATCGTTGGTCCCATCGCAGCTGGCGTCACATATTCGGCCCGCGTCTCAACCTAGCAGGGCGGGGTACAAGGCTCCCTACAATTGGCGGTTATTAAGGTCGTATTTCCCCCCACGGTATCCGCCGACCTCTGCGTTCAAAAAAAAAACTACCAAACAAATCAAAGCCACAAAGGTATTTCTTATAAAATTTGCGTTCCATACGTTATGTCAACCAACTAATGAGCGGTTTTCATAGATGTCCACCGAGGGAGTACATGAGCAGATCATCAGTGCCCTTGAGGAGATTTTTACCGACCCAGAAACGGTCCTCGATGATGGTTTCGAGGAAGCATCCGGACTTTATATTGGCGTGGCTTTAAATGCTATGGGAAGGTATGATGAGAACAAGAACATGGACGATTTAGAAACAGCAATCGGGTTGTTCGACAAAGGGGTTAATCACCCTGTAGCGACGAATGACCCTTTGCTTCCAGCATACATCAACAAATACGCCACTGCCCTCGCCAAGAGATTCGGGGTAAATCATGACGCCGAAGATCTACAGAAAGCTATTGGATTGGTGAAGACGGCATTTCGCACAATTGATATGGATGAGCAAAATTGCGAGCAAGTTTTGACAAGTGCTTGGGAATGCCTGTCGGCTATGTATGAGGTGGCCGGTTCAGCAGACGCACTTCACGAGATTATTGCATATGGGAAAGGGGCTCTCCAATCTATGCCTTCCGAACATCCCAAGCGCCCTGATGTTTTTCATATGTTGTCTCGTTGTCTCCAAAAACGCTTTATACTGGCGGGCGAATTAGCAGACATTGATGATGCTGTCAGTTACGCCGGGGAGGCTATCGAGTGGACCCCAGAGGAGGAAAACGGCAAGTTAGCCTCCCTTTTTTCGCTAGTTGGCAATTGCTTGTATCTTCGCTTTTTCCTTCGCCTGCATGACCCGGATGATGATCCTTCCGTGGATATTCAATATGCTGTCGAATACGGCGAAGAATCTGTGGAACGCACGAGGAAGATGGGGAATGGGGCTGAGCAGCACTTGGCCGAGCGCCTCGCGGGCCTTTCCGCCTACCATTGGGCCAATGCGTGCTGTCGGCCTGGGGATCTGGATAAGGCGTTTGCTGCAGCAACTGAGGCTTGTGACCTAGCGAACAAGGTGGAGTCTCTACAGAGTAGTTTGATGCCAAAGAGTAGCTTGATGCCAAAGGCATTGGCCACCCTTGCCCAGTGTTTTCATAGCAAATTTAGCCGGGATAATTCGTGGAAGGATCTCAAGGAGTCAATTTCTTTAACCTATAAAGCCATGGGTTATGGGGCTGCCAGCGAAGAAATCGATTGGAAACTTTCTAGTGAGCTCGCATATCGTTTATTGCTCGCTCACAAGTGCAGTTTGGACCACTCTCTGCCACAAATAGAAGATTCCATGCCAGCTGGGTCAAACTACTTGGATGAATCGATTGAAAAGATGTGCCGTGCAATACAATCTCCCCGTATGACTACCGACCAGCTCCTAGGAGGCGTGTTTACCTTCACGGAAATTGTTCTGAAATTTGAGCCAATGTTGAGAAGGCGCATAGCAGGGAGATTAGATCGCCTTTTAACCTGTGCGGTTGAATTGCTTCCCTGGGCAGCACTGCGCCCTCTTGGTCAGGACCAGCAAAGAATTTTGTCGCGTTTCTATGGCTTTGCGAGCGACACGGCGGCCGCTTCGCTCGAAGCAGGGAATGACCCTTATGAAGCGCTCCGTTTGTTAGAGTTGGGCCGCAGCGTCCTGATATCAATGCAACTCGGCGCTCGGATGCCCATTCCAGAATTGCAAAAACAACACCCTGCGCTAGCGGATGAGTATATAAAGCTTCATACTGAGCTACAGTCATCCAAGATTACCGAACAGCCCTTCGAAAGACGGCATGAGATAACTACAGGCCTCCGCGACCTCCTTGCCGAGATCCGTCAGAAGCCAGGGTTTGAGGGTTTTGGAAAAACGTTAGGGAAGGGGGAGATGATGAGACTTGCAGATAGAGGCCCGATTGTAGTTTTGAACATTTCCAAGTTCCGATGTGATGCCATTGCGGTTTTATCGGATGAGATCAAGGTTATAAACCTCCCCAATTTGGACGTCGATTTTCTTAGCGAGAAGAGTCTGGAACTTCAGTACCAATTGGCCGCTATCAAGGATGCACAACAGGACTTTCACCTATTGTACAAGAATTTGACGGAGCTTCTCAAAACTACTTGGAGGCAGGCGATGAACCCTACACTTAAAGCGCTGGGATTTACAAAAAAGCCTCAGGATGTGAATAGCTGGCCCCATATCTGGTGGATCCCTACGGATTACTTGTGCCTTGTGCCCATCCACGCAGCTGGGATCCCCGGAAAGGCTACGGTAATGGATAGGGTTATCTCCTCATACATTCCGAGTGTCAAGGCACTAGAGTATGCTAGAGCGAAGCACCAGAATTCTATTTCGTCGGCAGACGACGGTGACACAACAGATAGAAGGGATGTCCGAGCTCTAGTCATTGCAATGGCCGATACCCCAGAGCGAACACGACTCGACCACTCCATGCTCGAAGCCAAGACTGTAATGGACACTTTCCCAAACACCACCATCCTCGAACAACCCACTCGGCAAGCAGTGGTTGCTGAGCTCGAAACCCCCCCATCAATAATCCATTTCAGTTGCCACGGCGAAACCGATTACTACGATCCTACAGAGAGTAAGCTCCTCCTGTCGGACTGGAAAACATCACCTTTGAACGTCAGTCAACTCCAGCGTCTCTCCCTCCAGGGCTCCAAACTCGCCTACCTATCGGCATGCTGGGCCGCCCACGGCGGGAATATCGACCTGCGAAACGAAAACATTCATCTCGTCAGCGCTTGCCAGCTCGCTGGTTTTCCCAGTGCGATAGGATCGTTTTGGTATGTTGGACAGGATGCATCGCTAAAAGCAGTCGAGGAGTTTTATAAAGAGATTGGGAAAGGTGGTGATGGTAGTGTGTTTGACGTGCTGGAGGCTGGGAGGGTATTGCATTTTGCGATTTTGGGACTGAGGGAGAGTACGAAGTCTGTTGGTAATGATTTTAAGGGGGATCCGGTTCGGTGGGCACCTTTTGTGCATTTTGGAATCTGACAGGATGGGTGGCTTGGGTGTTGTCTATCCGGCAAGGGGGTGGAGTATTCGGTGTTGTGATATGGTAATTGTCATTCAGTGCGCTACTGCGAAAGCCGTCGTTGACCTTGGCGGTCTCCCTTACATGGAGGGAATTATTTGCCCAGATGTGGTATTTGCTGTGTTTCAGCCATGATTTCAGGCATGTACCGCATATCATTAGCGATATGAAGCGTAGCAGCTCTACACGCATCATAGACCTCGACTTTAGCCACCGGTATACGGCCTCCTGCAGGGTTGGGGTAGTTGCCAAGTCTCGAGTGATAAAAGGTGTTGCTACGGAAACCTTTGAACCCTGTGATACACTTCAAGCTCAGTTCCAGCGGTATTTGTACCATGCAATAAGGTTGTCTACCAGATTTTGCGTTCTTCTCCTATTTTCTTTCCCCCGCCTCTCTCTGAAATAGTTAAACCGCAGCCTAAAATGGCCGTGCTCTAATTCTAGCCTGATGGGCTCTCCTCTCAGTGGGGCTCGGGCGCTGGTGTTCCAGCTGCGGGCGCGAGGTATGTAAACCAAACACCTATCGGTGCTTGATTCATTCTGAGGGAAATCGGTGTGCCACCTCCGGTGGCGTTTGTTTTGGCACGGACAATACGAATTCTCATATGATATCTTCGTGGAATTGCTGGCTAAGATATCCTCAATATTTGGTTATTGGCGACTCCTAGTTAAGTTACATGAGCCGTCTGATTTCCAGAGGTTAACTCAGAGCCGCTTCGATGACTTGCAATATCTCTTGAAGCACAGATACTAGCACACGCTGGGTCTAGTGCCCAAGATGGGAAGGGGGTGGGTGCTGTCTTATGGCTATTGAGAGTACCCGAGTATTCGCGAGAAAGCGATTCTGCGGCTAGAAGATGCGGATTCAGTTCGTCGGCCATGACTCCTAGGTGTTGAGAGGCAAAAAAAGCCTAGTTGAGCAACTTATGCTGGGACGGGGCACAGCGGACGATATGAAGCATTGGTCCCGGATTTAGGTGGAGGAGGCGTGCTGTGAGAACACACCGTTAATTACCCCGGCCCGGGGATATAGGTGGTGGGGGATTTGATGAGAGGTTTGGGACAAAAGGGGCAGTTGCCGCGACGGCGACAACAATTTTCTGATACTTGTGGGCTGCGTTGCGAAAGATGATCACCCTGCGAAACTTTTGAGTATGATATCATACCATCTTTTCATAGCTATCTAGGAACCCTAACCCTATAGGCTTTCCCCCCGGAATATTGCCAGCCCCTCAGGGTTTGTGAAATGACAGCTATGATAAATTATCACACAATTGAATCCTGCAGTTTCATTCACCAACAATTCACGGCACCGGTATTCGATAACCGTGGAGACATGCATCAAAGACACCGTCTCAGCTCTATCCCCACATATAATACCTTTGTATCAACGGGAGAAGGAACAACGGGAGAAGAAAACCCAAACTATGAGAGCAGACAACCAGGTGACCTCCACCCTCCGTACCCAGTCGCTCGGGATCTTACCTTCCTGTTCTTAACGCCCAGAATCCACACCCCAGAGAAGCACGCCCCTGCTTAAGATGGATCGATAGGATTTTGCAAGATCTTCCCGCTGGGACACTGAAACATTAATCGGAAAGGAGGTGGGTGGGTTGCACCGGCTGTTGTGTTGTGTCGGCGGGGTTGCTGAATTTGGGACTTTCGTAGCTGTATGGCGCAGTGCGGTAACGTATGATAAACTATCGATTAGGTAGGAGTTCAAGGGGTAATTAATTATCGAGTGAGTACTGTATTCATATATAAGAGAGGAGGGAATCGCCCATTTTTTCCCCGTTTTTTTGGTTGCCCGCTCACAAGCCACTGTGATTTCACCTGGCGGCGATGAAGTTCCTCTTATTTTCTCTGGGTCTTTCGGGGCTTTTCTTTCTCGGTGCTTCCCTGACGATCTCCGAAATCAATGGCCCTGCGCACCGGTCTCCCTATGAGAACAAAGATGTGACGGATGTCACTGGCCTTGTTACCGCTATTGGTCCTTCAGGTTTCTTTCTCAGAGATACTACTCCCGACAGACTTATCCAGACGTCAAATTCCGTCTACGTCTTCACTTCCTCCTCCATCAGCATCCGAGGCAATATCGCCGTCGGTGACATAATCACAATTGATGGACGTATCCTCGAGTATAGGAGCAGCGAAGCGTACTTATTCTTGACGGAGATTAGTGCACCGAGGAACCTGCGTAAGGTGTCCAGCGGGAACAAAGTTGAGCCAGTGGTGCTCGGAATGGAGAGGGCGCCACCGGCGTATCATTACTCTGCGATAGACGAGACGGCCGGTGGAGTATTTGCTGTGCCGAACAACCAGAGCCTGTATTCGGTGGTCAATGCTACAGCTGAGCAGGATAAGTATGGGTTGGACTTTTGGGAGAGTCTGGGCGGGGAATTGGTTAAAATTCCTGGGCCTGTTGTGCTTTCTAAGTCGAATAGCTTTGGGGATGTTTGGGTGAATGGAGAATGGAGGGTTACTGGGAAGAATTCTCGAGGGGGTTTGACTATTGTTCCCGGTATGGGTGGGATGAACGACCAGGTCCGGTTCCAGAGCTACGGCTAATTGGAAAATATGATAGGATACACGGGCGCCGACGCTAACCCGGAAGCTATCCGAATCGGCTCCCCGCTCGACGGTACTAAAAACGAAGCGGCCAAGCTCGGCGATAAACTAGAAGAAGTCACCGGTGTCATCACCTATGTGCTCGGCTTCTATACTGTCCTCCCGCTGACCGCACTCAAGGTCAAGTCTCATGCGGAACCGTCTCTCCCGCCGCCAACGCTGCTAAAGTCTGGCTCCACCTGCTCGGGCTTGACATTCGGTTGCTACAATGTCGAGAACCTCGCTCTCAGCTCAGCACACCTTCCTCAAGTCGCAGACCACATTGTGACATATATGGGCACCCCAGACTTTGTTTTCTTGCAGGAAGTCCAGGATGATGATGGGTCAAATAACTCCGGCAACGTAAGCTCGAATCAAACGCTCGCCGCGCTATCTGCAGCCATAAGGGATCGCTCCGGGGTAAGCTATGAATTCGCCGTTATCGACCCCGTTGATGGGATGGACGGTGGTCAGCCCGGAGGAAACATCCGAGTAGCATACTTCTATAATCCGGAGTTCTTCACCGTGCGTAATCCGAACCCAGGATCAAGCACGGAGGCCACGGAAGTTCTTCCAGGGCTGGAGTTGAAGTTCAATCCTGGAAGAATCGATCCTGTGAATGTCGCCTGGACAAACAGCAGAAAGCCACTTGCTGCTGTGTTTGATACCGGAGATGGTGACAAAGTTTTTGTTATCAACGTGCACTTTACAAGCAAAGGTGGCAGCAGTAGCATACAAAGTGACGCCAGACCACCGGTTAACGGCGGACTCGCAGACAGACAGGCTCAAGCCGAGTCTGTCGCTGTATGTCCACCCTATTTCACTTGCATACCCCATATTTCTAACGCATCACACAGTCATTCGTCTCAAAAATCCTCGCTGAGGACCGCACGGCAAAGATAATCATTGCAGGTGACTTCAACGAATTTACATACGTGTCTCCAATGCGCGCCTTCGACGGAATAGCCTACGACCTCGACGTGGTCACTTCGACCCCAGTAGAGGAGAGGTACACTTATCTCTTTGACATGAACAGTCAGCAATTAGACCACATGTTGGTCAGTTATGAGATCACGCAGAGGGATCCGGAGTACGAACATGTACATATTAATACCTGGAACACTTTAGAGGGGGAAGTGTCTGATCATGATCCGAGTGTTGCAAAGTTGAACGTTTGTAAATAAATAAAATCAGGTTGGGAGTAAAATTGGGGGGAGGGGGGGTTGTATCATAATATTATTATATATTTATTTGTATGATATCTGTATACTCGTCAGTTAATGTGAGGTTTCTTATACCTGGGTACTGTACTGGGAAGAATTTATAGTCTTTTTTCTTCCGAAGAATCGCTCCACAAGCGTGGCTTGGGTTGTTGGGATTGTATGATACGCTTCCGGTGTTAGTCCGTGTTTTCTCATTTTTTCCACGGGGCACGGGTCCCGGTGAGATTCCTTCCGGCATTACTGCCCTCCTATTCATCATAGCTGAGAACTCGCTGTCAAGTTTCTATACTATTCTATAATGCCCGACCAATCTAAAACGTCCCATCTTCCCCTAAAGATATGTGCCAGAGTTCGCGGCACATTTCGTCCTAAGTGCGAAGCCAACAGTACTTTCAGTCTCCTCGACAAACTCCATCTCACAATGCTAGGCCAGGGTTCGCAGAAATGCGAGTATGTTGCGAGCGATAAGTAGTTAGCGGCTCTCCCCCTAGGTGACTTATAGGAATCACCTATGACTTCCTAAAGTGGTAAAATAAACCAAGGCTGCGCAGCTAGACCGATGTAAGTAAGGGGTTAGAGTCGCCCTCGACTGCGAGATCGATATCCGGCTCTCGGATGGCTAGAGGTCAGAACTACAGGGGCAGAAGCTCCGCCATCGCTAGTGGAACCTAGCAACCGTCTACGAATTATAAGTTAACTGTTACTCTTGATCATTATATATATAATGGGCCAGGGGGATGCTTACACTGACCATCCTACCATCTCAAGCGCCACATCCCCCCTACCCAGCCAGGCACGCGAAACTTCACAAGGATAACCCAAACAAACGAAACTCCTCTCAACACTTCCGAACCTTGAGCCTGTCAAGTGTCAACAACCCATCCTATGAATGTATCCGTCGGGACCCCCGACTTCAACCCTGTCAACAATGTGAGCTCCTTGCTGTAAGCCACCAAAGACACATACCACTCTGCTAGGGATAAACTGCCCCAGAACGGGTCCCTCTTCGGCGGTGATGATAGGGGGTGGTTGGGTTGTTCTGTGGGGAAGAGAGATATGCCTCCGGAATCGTTTAGGGTTTACGCAGCCGAATGCGCTCTCCATAGAACCCGTAACCGATGGTGGCCCCCCGGGCCCGGTGATGGGAGAGCTCGTAAGGTTATGGAATGGGGATTGCGCCTATAATAGGGCTCGGAAGATAGGGGGGGGAGGAGAGGGTGAAAACGAGAAGAATAATCCGCTTGAGATGCTGGCGCAACTTCAGCGCTACCTAAGAGAACACCGCGAGAATGATGTCCGACTCTCCGATACCAATGACTAGTGATCAGAAGTACCAGGGGGAGTGTACTCGGGGGCTACTCGTACGTTTGCCGAGTACAGTACCGGTACTTGAAAAAATCCGACGATTTAATAAAAAAGGTTTTTGGCGGAACCCGACAGCAGTCTGCGAATTACTAGCTAACTACCTGTCTGTAGTCTTGAGCATAATGCATACCAAGCAAGGGGAATGCTTTCACTAACCATCCTAGAGAACGAAGGAAGGGGAGAAGCATTAAAAAATTATGGAACTCGGCAAGTCTTAAGTAGAAGCACGTCACGGGAGCAACAAAATTAGAGGGGAGGTCACGGGGGTAATGTCGCCGAGCGACCCGTTTAGGAGAACATTTTGAGCCGGTATGGTAGCAGTCAAGATAAGTTTACGGTACCACACATGTGCAAGGGCCAAAGCTGACAAATTGATATCCTAATAAGAGCTCAGGCGGGAAATCGGCCCGGTTTGTGTCCAGAGCTCTCCACATGTGCGATACCCGTAAGTCCATTCCATCTTGGCTCCATAGCTTAAGAGTTCATGAACAATCCAATGTCCGAAGGCACCGACAAGCAAGAAACCGTCACCGGAAGATGCCACTGCCAAGCAGTCACATACAGCTTTGCTTTTACCGGTCCATTAGCAGCGTTTTACACTCATGAGGCCTTCATCAGACGTCAGACTGGATTCCCTATTAATCTCTACATTCCTATGAACGCAGACTGCGACTTCCAGTTTCCATCTGACTCACCAAATCTACAATCCTTCAAATACGGCGATAAGACATCATTCTTCTGTAAGACCTGCGGCACTACGCTTTTTTTCACTAAAAGAAGCTGGGAACCGCCCTGCATATTGGCACCGACGATTGATGTGCTCTCTGGAAAACAATTAAGCGACTACGTCTATATCCAAGCACACATACATCTAAGCGAGGCGGGAGGAGAAGTTGGTGGGATTGCGGACATTATTGAGGACGGGTTGCCGCATTATATGGAAGACGCGGGAAAATATCTCGACAGTGAGACGATAGCTATGGTAGAGCGACCGGTGGTGGATGAGTCACAAGTGATGAGCGAGCATTGTCAGGGGGTCCCGGACGTTCTGGACGGCCGCTGCTGTTGTGGGGCACTTCGCTTCTCTATCGCAAGGCCTCCAGAGGACTATAGTAGTGATCCCACTCTGCTGCGCTGGGTAAAACCGTGGGTGGCATTACCCAACACAAATATGCACAACTGACATATATCTCCCTCCCTTAGAGGTGGGAAGTTTGCTGCTTCCTTTTGCTTCTGCACTTCCTGCAGGACCGTTTCTGGAGCCCCACTCTTCGGTTGGTGTTTTACACCGACAAAACAGCTCCGCATATATCCACAGAGTACACCGAGGCTGTCAGTTTACAGATCCAGTGATAAAAGCACGCGCCGGTTTTGCGCTTCATGTGGCGCTACCGCGTTCTTTGCTTTAGACTCTTTGAATAATGAGATGTGGGACATTGCCATTGGGTTATTGCCCCTGGGGAAGTTTAGGAGTGGGGACTGGTGTGTTTGGAAGTACGATGGAGGGGATCAGTTCGTTGACAGCTATATTCACGGATGGAAGGACGGCACCATGAGCTATGAGCGTAATGGAGAGGACTACTTCAGGGGCCTAGTCGAGCAGGTTAGATTTGGTCGGAACCGTTCTGGGCTTGTAAACTAAGGCTATTCAAGAGTTTTCGGGGGCGTTGATATTGTGAATAACTGCTGCTTAGTCGTCAAATGCGATTGCGTTACCTCGGCACCTCAAGAGCAATAAGCCTTTTTCTGGAAGTTAGCTGTTGTTTCTTTTATTAACGGGATGGAGCTTCATGAGCCTACATGTCGGCGGATCCATAGTAGCTCTAAGGGGATCTAGTATTGGGAAGTGAGTGGATGTAGGAAGAAGTGATGAGATATAATAGAAGTGATGAGAAGCAAATAGATAGAAGAAGGAGCATGGTTTGGATGTGATCCAGAGAAGCCATGGGCAGATGAGAAAGAGACGGAACACGGAAGTCTTTCTTATTCATGTATATAAGTGTGGTACTTCACCCACAAGTGAGAAGAGAGCAGCGAACAAGAAAAAATCATGATATAATACAAGTATCATACAGTACCATCCTAAGACATCTTTCCTTCCAAGTGCGCCTAAAGTTTCTTGACCAGTTCCGAACGACGAAAGTTGAGAGACCCAACTCGAAAGGCCACTCCTCAGGAATCCTGTTTGATCAATTTTAACAAGCTCCCAAAGCCGGCGCAAGATTTGTCGTTCGAGGAGCCCGGGGGGGAAAGGAAGCGGCAGAAGACGACTGCGCGGAGTCCCCAAGGGACAGCGCGAGGGCGATGCGACATCGAATCAACGCGCTGAATCAAACAAATCGTATGGTTGAGCGCTAGCAAACCAGAGTAACGCAAATGGTTAATCGGTAATAGATATACAGCGCTTAAGGCGCTTACAACTAGGAGTGCGCCGCGCAAGCATCCCAGGTGGAGGTCTTCAATTTAATGATCACTAGCATTTGCTCCGCAATAATGAGAAGGCTAACAGGTTACCAGGTATTTCTAGGAGTAGCTACTCCAAAAATATCTCCAGATACTATCACTGTGCTAGATGGAAAGGCCAAATTAATCTCCATCATCAAGTCACAAACCACTCCCAGCAAGTCGACGATCCTGGATACGCAGCCCCGTTCAGACCCATCCGCGTTCATTAAATTATGCCTAAGCAATAGCTCTCTGCCATAATCAGTTGCTTAGTAAAAAAAAATTCCACTGTATGATATCCTTTTTTGCAGTTAAACTACACCCCCTATCATCCATTTGAGTTGGGTTCACGGAAATTGGATGGTGATACTATAAACTGCGCCGCGGGCTTTGATTAGAAGCAGCTCTACTACATGAAAGTCCTATCACTTGATGCCGGCGCAGGAAAAAAAATTCCACCATTCAAATTCACGCGGAAACCCAATGCCATAAAAGCCGAAATAATTTAGAATCTCGCTAGGAACGTCGGAGTTGCCTCTCCTAGATGCTAAAGTCTGATGTATTTCTTCTTTCTTTTTATTTATCCCAGCTGAGGGAGGAAAGATAATATTTTCGCTGTGTTTTTTCCCCGCTAATCCGGGGGGGGGGGATTCCAGACGTCCTATGATACCATAGTAGCTTTCACAGTACCCAAGCTGACACCCTATAGTAGGCCAGCCATTTTCACATTCAGTCACTCGACACTCCTTATCCTCCATCACCAAATTCTCCAAGCAGTTCAAAATACCGCACTAGTGTGGCTCCAAGCACTCCTTGCCTTCCCAACCACCATCACCACTACGACCATAACTCCAGAGAAGAAGAAAAATTTCGAAATCTCTAACCTTCCAGTAAACCGGAGCATTTCCAGCCAACAAATTGCAGGCGGACTCTCCAATCAGTTAAAATGAAAAGGCTACACTGACGGGACTATGTGTCTGCAAGCGCTGCCGGCAGCCCCAACCCTGACAATTCCCGGTGCGGTACCGAGGTCTGATGATTTTGTGGGGTTGCATATATCCGAGATGGAGAAAGTTCATTTAAATGTGTGTGCTTCCCTGCCTTAGGGATTTGAAGATACGTTGTTGAGGTTTGGCAGGACCAGTTGTTGCCTCGGCATAGGTACTTCACCGGGGTGTTCGGAGACTCTCCGCAAACTCATCATGGGTATACGGGCCGTCAACCGGAAGTTGTTCAATGGTGGAACGTTGTTGGGGGAGTGGTGTTAACGGGGCCGGGGGAGCAGATACTGGGACTGGACGTCAGATATAAACCCCGATAGAAGGTTTTTCGACTCGCCAATATTTCCCCTCAGAGATGGATTTGGTGGAAATAGTTTGTTATTGCTATCTCTTACTCTCCTCTCTCTATACCATCGGTCGACTTGTTAATGATATTATTTTCAATCCGCTTTTCCCCCAAGACCATATATTCCCCGCCTTGAACAACCCTATAATTCATTCCGTCTCGCAAATGGAACCGGTGGCGGCTGTGTGCCCGATGGCCCGGTTCGCAAACGTGATTCCACATCTTGGTTCTGGTCGAACATCGACCGCACTGTTTAGCGGAAATTTCCATCCACAATTCCCCGTGCTATGGTTTAGCGAGACCAACCCTAGTTGCAAAATGGCTGAGGGAAGAATCGGTGGTTCTTTTGGCGGGACTTGGAAAGCGTGTTTGAAGTTGAGAGGAGGGGACTGCGTGGTGGTGCAGGAAATTTTCGTATTGAGAGGGTATGCAGTTCATTCCCCCCCTCATATTCCCCTAGTGCATCAGATGCTAAATTAATGTAAAAATAGGCATATTACCAGATGTGTATTACCGTACGGTATTCTCCCTGAGTTGAGCTGTCCTACACACCTCTCCTCCATCTCCTTCTAACATGGAACACAGACCCCCATCCCACCTCCAACCTCGGTCGCCTCTGATGGAAATGGCAAGATCAACACCCATAGCCCCCGTCAAAAGAATGCCCCCGGCCCCGTATCACAGAAGCAGGGCGCAGGAAACCACTTTGTCAAGATCGCACAGAAGGTGAATGCGAGTACCGGTACCACAAAAACTCGGATAATTAGATCCTGCGCTACGTAGTCCAAAATTCCCTTCTCTGGAAAGGGAGCAAAAAACACAGCAAAAACACAGCCCTCCTACGAGTACTCGTACAGTACCCCTTCCGAGACAGAAAAAAAATTAATTCTTGACCTTGCAAAGGGGGAAAGCCCAACGACATAAAACATGGTCCAATTATTCGAGTTTTTGTGGGTATTGCAGACATCACGCATATCAAACAGAAAGCACTACCGGTATGCTGCGATTATCCCCGACGCAGGGAAGGCTGGCCTGCGAGACGGAGACTCGAATGATTTATTATTATTGATGTACAGTACAACAGAAATCCAACCTCCTCTGGAAATCCACCGGTATGCGTCCTACTTGTACGCACGGTACGAGTACTGTATTCTGTACCTGCACGAGCACTTGTACTCAGTAAATATCTGTGGGGTTACTCTATCGCAGCTCTCTGCCTTGGCAATAAAATCCCTTTGGTTGAACCGGTTAAGAGCTAGGCATGCGCGCACTTCCGGCAGCCTGCACTCACTGTGCTACTGTATATTGTACAGTACCCGCATCATACGCCATCATACCCCACCCATCTCCCACGCCATCTCCCGGTCTCAACTCGCGGATCTAGGAAAAGGTCCAAGGCCAAGGCAAGTCTGGTTCATGAGGCCTTGGGAGGAATTTTCGTTGGGTATTGTACTGTACTGGTACGAGTACAGTACAGTGCCGAAAAAAACTCGTTAAATTAGCTATCGGGGATCGTGACTCGACATTTCGCAATCCAATCCAAAACGCCCGGAAAAGGGATAATGTTTTCTAGACAGGGTATAGCTGGGAGAGGCTGAGCTCTCCAGAGTTCATTAACTGGTATTCGTTATTTCGTTAACCTACTCTTTTAAGCCCACTATGGTTTAGCTCAGCGATCCAGTTGAGATCCACGATATCATAGCTGATTTAACGAGTTTTTATGGCACTACGAGTACGAGTACCCGCACGAGTAAATTTACTGCACACCGCACTTGCACCTTGCCACTGACCTCTCTTCCACGAGTACCGATCGCCTCACAGACGGCAAGAGGACCCAACGAATAGGATGGTTCAAGGAGAAAGAAAGAAAAATGCAATCAAAAACCAGCATCTGGGATACGCCAAGATATTTTGTATGCATCCCGCTCACCACCGATCCCGGTCACAGTCAGGAATAAATTTATAAATTACCCATGTACGCATATAAGCCCACAGTCCCGGGCACGGTGAAATAAAAATAAAAATAAAAAACTTGAGGTGGAAGGGACAGGAGACTCCTGGTGAGATCAAGAACTCGGACACCTCACAATGATGCAACCGAAAACGATCAAAAAGTGACTTTGGCAATGGAGTGGGAGTTCACCACCTCTCAAAAAGCCTTCGACATTTGAGAAACAAGTTCTTGAGCAATTAGGACACTGTTGGCCGATCTATGCCCTTGGATCTTTCATAAATTCGCTGGCTTCGTTGATATCTCGGGTTTACCAGCGTTTTAGAAGTGCCCTGGCTATCAATCTCGCCAGGATTAAAACACGTTAACCAATTGATAAACTCGTGGAATGAGTACGAGTAATGGGACAGTAGAAGTTAGAAACCCGGATCACCCGCTACGTGTCTGCCCTCTTCCAAAGACCCGAGTTGGAAACATCGACAGGTCTCTCAATTTCATTACTCCCATTAGCACAGCACAGTATCCCGGAATATATTGCTATTGGTGACATTGTGTGCCCACAGGTAGTTCCCACCCAGAGCCATGCTTGTCCACAGGGCTTCCCTTCTTTCACTCAATGACCACTCGCCCACTGCCCCGTAGATATCAGCAATACTTTTTTTATCAGCTTTTTTTCTCCTATGCCTTAATACAAAAGCCCTCCGACCGCTATGTTCAACCCTCTCACGCTCCAACATCTCCACTGCCGGTAATTCGGTCATGTCATGCAACAAACACTCATGCCAAATCACTCGCGCTCTAGGCTCTAGCCCCATTCCCCACTAAATGTTGAGAAGTTCCTTGTTTTCCCACACTAGTCAACACAAGTGTATTACTATACACCAAGTTAGAGTCCAAACCGCAGACCAAGCTAGAGGCGAAGCCGGAGAGCAAGCTACTCGAGTAGAGGGCAAGCGGCAGACCAAGTTAGAGGCCAAGCTGGAGGCCAAGCCGCAGACCCAGCCAGAGGTCAAGCCGGAGAGCAAGCTAGAGGCCACACCTAATAAAAGCGCATAAAACACAAATAGAGGCGCTCAGCCCCGGGGCCGAAAAAAACGCTTATAAGTTTCCCGAGCTGAAGGTCTTTTGGCGTGTATAACGCCCTTTTTGCATACCATACAAATCTGGCAAACCAACTCAGAACGGCGCTCGAAAAAACGCCCATTCGACACCAGGGCTGAGGGCGTAGGGTATCGATACGAGATACGGAGCCTTTTGTCCCTTGGCTCCAGGTCCTTGTTGTAACGAAGTGTAAGGCAATGCACCTGCCTCTCCGCCAGTGATATTGGTGCTATAGTGGGACACGGGAGGCCACGGGGTCAGATGTTAAGCGTATGATGCTGTACGATACTCCCGCTCGAGTACTGCTATGATAGATGAAGTTGTGGCATTGAAATGATCCATGAACTGAAAAACAGCTAAAGACCTCCCCGATCGCCCAACCCCACAAGCACACATACTTCCCGAGAAGGCTTCATTTTTTTTCCAAAACATATCATACTGTACTATTTTCTGCCGGCGGATGCTTGTGAAACAAAAGTCCATTGCGATAAACCTGTGGTAGGGTAATTGGTGGTCAACCCCTTACTAAGAAGACCCCTGGAAGCTGTTGCGGTTTCACCCCGTTGCCGTGCCGTGTTGCTTCCGACTACAAGGAGCCAATGGTATGGTACGAATCTTACTGTGGAACAGCGAGGAAGTGAGAGGTTTTTGGAACGGGAAATGCGCCTTGGTGAAAACGTTCATAAGCACGGTACTCATGCAGTAGGGCAGGCTAGTTACATCTGAGAGGATTCGCTTGTGAAGGACTCGCACAGTGGTTGGGATTAAACTCGTGGAGGTACTGTACGAGTGTTCGAGTACCGGTACGCGGGTACGGAGGTAAGTGATAGGACGGACAGGGGTTCAAGAAGTCAGATAATCCAATATTTTATCCTCGCTGAGCACACGGATTCAAATCGCCTGTCTACAGGTACCGCATCCCATCACTAATTGCGGCAGCATCCATACACGAGCAACCTAAAAGCCACCAGCTATGAAAGAATCATCTAATGAGCCACACGCCAAGTAAAGTAGGTGGAGGGAAGGAGGAAAAAATAGAACAAATTTTTCGAAAATCCAATAAGAACAATACAGTAATAATAATTGAACAATGAGAGTTGGTAATTGGTAGGATTCTCTCTCTCCTCTCCACCCTCCTTGAGGTGCCCAGGGCATTTTGGGCTGTAACTTACCGGCATAATTGGTTACGTTGTTGGTTACAAGGGCGCAGTTGGGGGCACTCACGCTTACAACATCTACCCGCTCAACACCGGTACTTACCCGAGCACACCCAGGTATGATAATTGGAGATTCACAGTCGCAGTGCTCAAAAGTTTGGTTCAACAACTAGCATGCAAGCCAACCTCATATTTGGTTTGCGCATCAGGCTGGCCACCAGTGCATAGGACCAAAAACGGCCAAGCGTGAGTGCCCCTACCGTATTGTATATCGTTGGCCAGCTGAGGGAGGCAGGGTTGGAATGGGCTACCGGTACTCACCGTGCTTGTGTAAATTTACAGGACCGGGACGGTGTTACCAAACCCGAATATTCGCCTCACCGGACAAGATAGGATGCAGTCGCAAAAGACAACCCTGAAACATTAATTCTCAGCATACAGTATTTACACGTTCCACTTCTTTCAATCACGTTTGTTAGATCTACTCGAGCATGTTTAAATTTACTCAACCCGCGTAAAAATGCACAATCCAACCAAGACCTTCCTCCCGAACCCTACTCGAGTAGGGTACCGTATGCGTATGGCATGAGCCCGTCTGTCTCAGATGTGATCCTCCTACTCGAGAGCTATCAGAGATCCCCGCGGGGGACGCACACGGGCCCCCCAAGTGCCAAGAAACCGACGATTTGGAGCTGGAATGGGACCTCTACTTTGGCCTGGATGGGTCCAAAATCGAGCGCTGCCTGGTTCTATTAAGTTTCCCAAGCGAACAATTGACTCGATTCCGATCCGCCAGACGCTTCTGCTCCTCCAGCCCCGATTAATAAAATGGTCATTACCGAAAATTCAAGGCGGATACAAGTTGCAGCGGTCGAAACTGCTCTGGTGGAGTCATGCGGTCGCCGGATGTCACGGCAGGTAGAGAGCTTGGCATGCGCAAGCTACGATAGCCGAAAAGACTTTCAGAAGTCATATTATTAGGAATGCTCTGGCCCGGCCTGGGCTTTTTCCGTAGAAACAAAAACGCTCCCTCTATTAGTCTATGATCGATTTCGAAAGGGTTATTAGTTTGCTAGTTCTCCAACTTTCTCATTTTTTTTTTTTTTTCCCCACTACTGTACTCGTACTCGAGTAGACGCCACGGTAGGGGCTCAGATTGGCTCACTAACTGGGACGGGTAAGATTCATAGCTAAAAAAAGATTGAGAATAGCACTTGTGACCTTTCCGGGATCGACAACATTGATAGGGAAAGTCCCTCATTAGACCAAGGGCATTCAGCCCTGGGGTCGAAGAAGCATTGTTCGAGCGCCAAGTTTCGAGTGGGTCTGCCACATTTTTACTCGGAAAGGGCGTTTACACACACCAGAGTTCGACTCGAAAAAATTGAATACCCTAAGGGTTTTTCAACCCCCAATAAATAAATTCCGAGGACATTTGCAAATGAGCTGACTATCGTACTATGCTCGAGCGCTCACCCGTCATCACGAAGGGCGATTAGACTTCAATCCGGCGACATGAGTAATGCATACTTCGGCCACACCTGAGTACGGGTATTAGTGCACCTCAGGGAGCACCGGTATTGGTGAAGTTCTGGGCCCAAGATCCATCATCTGACAAGGCTGTTTGTCTTTATTTGACTACAACAAGGTATCATACAAGTACTCATACCAGTGCCTTGAGGCTATGATATGATTACTCACGCTGGGTGACGCTCCTGTACTAGTACTGATATCCGCCTCCTGCCCCCATTGGTAGGCAGTATCTCATCCTAATGATGGTTGCACAGTATTATGAACAGGCTACTATCATAGTCCCGGTGCGATTCCTCCTGTGGTAAGCTTCAGCCGAACGCAAGTGGATCTACAGTGTACGAGTACGATTGCAATTCATGTCTTGTTGCTAGTCTACCAAAGAGACAGAGCGGCCTTCCGTACGAGTACTCGGATACCAGGGTTAGTCCGCGAACAGTAAGGTTTGGTTGGAATAGTGCGCGCACTAAATGGGGTGTGATTGAAAACTGGCAAAATTCCTCGAACGCTTCCTGCCCTACCATTGGCTGAATAAACCCTGCCGTTCGCGGACCTACCCTGATATCCTAAGTACTGTGAGATTATTAGGTTCAAGGGGCGCTACCCGAGTACCGGTAGTGGTTAAACCGCTGCATGATCATAAAACCTTAGCTGGGCTCTCGGTGCTAAGCCAGGGAGCAGGGGGTTCCGAAAAATTATCTGTGCCGCAAGTCGATTTTACTTGGAGCACTGGTACAGTATTGCAATACCAGTAAAAAATCAGTGAGGCAGGCTGAACGGGGGAACCTTAAGAATCGCGAAGGGTAGTAGATAGAGTTTACCTTCCCGAGTTTGAAGAAATTTTAAAGTACAATTATTCACGCGTGGTATTGCTTGACAGCGTAGATCTGGCAGTTTATCTCGGCTGTCGCAATAAAGGCTCCCCACTCTGTAGTCTGATTGGTAATTGGTTAGCCCCTACTCACCACGTATCGTAGACAGCTTCTTGTTAAGGTCTCGTTTCTCGCCACACACACAGATCGCAACTGGAACCGGCAGTGGGCGGAAAAGCGATGCCACAATTGCTGTGATTGTGATGGCGGGGACGGTGCAGCGCTCCTAAGAAGCTATCGTTGAAAGAGACCCCCTGAGCGACACGCTCCGGAAGGCTATTCGCGCTCTTGGTACTGCACAGTGTTTTGTTGTCGCGAATCTTGGCTCAGGAAACCAAAAGTGCATCTTGGTCGGTACAGTACTGTGGTGTGGTCCCTTTGACAAGTTTCAACATGTCAATTCTACTCAAGGGCCCCGGGGGGGGCGCTTTTTACAGATATCATACGGCGAGTACGATGAAGGGGGGGAAGTATCTGAGGAGCTGGGCTTACCGGAATGAGTTCTCAATTCTAATCCCCACACATGAGGCTTTGGCTCACTGAGACAACCACACAGCTTGCCCTCCAACCATCCTGCTCTCTCTGAACGGGTACCCTAAACGTGCCACACCCACAAGATGTAACCTCTCATCCCTCCCTAGCAATCTTTTTTTTTTTTTTTTTTTTCGTGTGCCCGCATTCTATTTATTTTTTCTTCTAGTAGGTATATAGGTCCCTAATGTCCCCCTTAAATGGGAAAAACTTCTGAGGGGAAGGGAAATCTAACTTTCTTACCACAACCCGACACAGTGCATCGCTCAAGATGTTCTTCCCTTTATTTCTTATGTTGGCCCTGGTTGCAACGCAGGCGGTGGCATCTCTTCTCCGACCAAATAGCGTTAGGCTATCAGATTATCACCTTACAGAAATTATAAACCGTGATATATTAAAGCCGGCACTGGAGAATGACGACCTTCCAACTGCCCCTAAGCGCTACGTTGAGCTGCCTCTTAATCATGGTGATCCAAAGTCCCCAAAGTTCAAGAACAGGTATTGGGTGGATGATACCTATTATTCCCCTGGGGGGCCCATTTTCTGTATGTAGGAAACTAGGCGCCAACTTAACTCGGTGGGATGTTAATATTTTATAGTTGTCGATAATGGGGAAGCGGATGCGGACGGCATGGAAGAGTATCTGAGGAAGGGAGCCACGGGATCATTAGCAAAAGAGTTCAATGGGTATTTTCTCTCCGCGCTCGGCCGATCCGAAGAATTCATGTAATTAACTATTTTGGATGCTAGTCTCCTGATATTGTGGGAGCATCGATTCTATGGTACCTCAATGCCGGACATGACAAATGCCATGCGGTTCACATCCGATAATTTCGGGGCCTATCTAAAATATCACACGATCGAGCAGGCATTGGAGGACGTGGTAGTGTTCGCAAAGCAATTCACCTTCAACAATAAAACAGTCTCTCCCGGGGAGGTTCCTTGGGTATACCTAGGTGCGCCCGTCGAATCATTCACCCTAGCTAAATGCTATTTTACTAACGGGGGACGATTCATTAGGTGGTTCCTACCCCGGCGCACGGTCAGCTTGGATGCGGATCCGCAATCCTGACATCTTCCATGTGAGTCTGGCTTCATCCGCTGTGGTGCAACTTCAGAAGAATATGTGGCAGTATTACCGCGTAATTGAAGAGTAGCCATCCTCCCCATCCAATCCCGCCGGTAAACATGCTAATCCTCCCAATCAAGAACCCTGGACAAAACCGGCTACGCCAACTGTTCCAGGGACATCCGCAACATAACGAAATGGGTTGACAACGCTTTCGACGATCAAAATGGACCGGCTGTCGACCAATTCCTCGAAAAAATCACCGGCCCGGAGAATTCGGACTTGTGGAATTTCTTCCACTTTGATGACTCCTCAGATCCGGGAGAGATATGGGACAACAGGCGGATGAATGTGAAGGCCGCAATCGGAGTCGTGTACCGTGACTTTCAGTATGTGGGGATGAATGGGATTCTAAGGACCTTCTGCGATGGTTTGCAGTCCAATAGTGGCGATTCGGCGGGGGTGGGAGCGGACTTCCGGAACGCTAGGGGAATATTTGAGACGCATAATACTAGTGCTGCCATCGATATCTATACGAGTGTTTTGGCAGCACTCTGGCCGAAGGTTCTCAAACCAACAGATTACCCGGCAGACGGAGTCAAGATGGATCAAGTTTATAACGTGAACTGCGCAAGGAATCAGGGCCTCTGCAAGCAGATAGTTACAAAGTGGTCCTGGATTTACCAGACTTGCATTGAATTTGGTATCTCAAACCCGCCCATCATTGCTGCGGAATCACTGGGTAAGCTAACATTCGCTCAGGCGCCTACCAGACTGCGAATATTTCCCGTCCAACAAACCTCCTCCCCAAATTCGAAACCATCGAAAACGAGCTCAGGGATTGTAAAGGCTGGTTTGGCAACGCGGTAGCAGGTGGCCCCAATCTGGATCCCATCAACAAAAAATATGGCGGCTGGAACATGAACCCATCGAATGTCTTCTGGACTGATGGTGAAATCGACCCCTGGCGCGCCCTTACCCCCAATTCCATTGAAGACGGTGCACCAAAACGGCCCTCTACCACCAATATTCCCCCGTCCGGGAGCAACGCCGGAGGCGATACGTTCTTCGGCTTCGTTATGAAGGGAGGATCGCATTGTGCGGATTTAGGACAGTACGTTGGACAGGGGTTGCGAAATCGAACCGGCGCAGCCCCGGACACGACGGGTATAAAAGTTCCAGCGGGTTATGTGCCGGAGGCAGATACTGCTCATAACCTATTTAAGGATGCGCTGAGGACCTGGTTACCGGCGTTTAAGGCACATGCGCTATCCAGGGAGTCTTCATTCAAAGTGGATACAACAGGCAGCAGCAGCAGCGGCGACGGCGGTAGCGGCGGCGAGGGCAGTGCGGGGGGTGGGGGCAATCGGCCCAGCAGTGGTGGAGGCGACAAGAGTTTGGCAATATCTCTGTCGGCGTCTAGATGTTTCTACTCGGCGGTTGTTGTCGTGGTGGTTTGCGCTATGTTGTAAAGTGGACATGGATAGATCTGTCTCAAAAACTACAGTCATTCGCGTCCCCACCATTTTTTTCTTCTTCTTATGCTTAAATCGACGGCATTAGCATGTACCTATATACCACGGTTTTAACTTCACACGGGTGGCGCTTCGTTCTTGGTCAATTTTCTCTTTTCTAGATTGTAAGATATTTCGTTTGGTTCCCGTTGGGGCTTATTGTGTGACCGGGCAGGTTCGGGGTGGGCTCTTTTATTTTTATTTTTTTCGATTATAATTATAATCACTTATTGGGTAAAAGGGTTGGAAAGGAATCATCATACTGTTATAAAACCCTCTACCCATAATTCTGTCTCACACCACATGCAATCCGACGGATATCCCGAGGACGCTCCGGAAACTCGCCAGTGGGAGAACATCGATTCAGATCCTCTACCCCCGAATTTCACGAGCACAGTACAGTACTTCACCATTAATCCGACAGCCGACCGACAGCCAAAGATTCCCACGGTCAGCATCACTCAGCGAGAATAGGAGCCTGTGATAATCATGTATACGTTATGTACAGTACCGTACCTACGAGCCTCGGCCTGACATTACTGTGCTGATGGATGGCCATGCCCAGCTCTAGAGCGCCGCAAGGAAGCGGGCGAGCCCAAATAGGATAAAACACCAAAAGCCTGTTTGTTTCCCAGACCGACGTCGCAGCCATGGCGACTATCTATACATTGACCTCCTACCTAAATGGGAGGAGGGGAAACTCACACACACACGAAAGGTAAAATTAATTGGTCATCCCCTGGCAGAAACCAAATGGTTAAGCATTGGGGCAGTGAAAGGTAACTTAAATTTACTTAGATATCGTGATAACCTGACAAAGAAATTCAACGGATCGGTAACTAAAGGTTTCATGAGCTTGGCCATTTCATTTCGCATTTGGTAAAATAGAAAAAAAGTAAAACGTATGATACCACGTGGGTTAGTCCGGCCCGCGGATTAAGCACACAACTGCATCCACTACCAGGCAACGGTACCCACCAAATTATCAGCACTGGCCAAAGTTTTAAAGATTTTTCTCTGGGAGTGACAAGTCACGTATTGTACTGTACTGTATAGTACAGGGTACAGGCACGCGAGATAAATTTAGCTTAGCCAGCTCAAGTGCTGATGCGGGAACCGAAAATAAATAAAAGAGCAACTTTTATTCCCGCCCTTGATAATAAACAAGCAAGCTAGGTTTTGCGCATGCGCATACCCCACCACACCGAGGTCGTTTCTCGGGGCAAGTTCAGCCCTAGCTGGCTACGAGTATGGAACAAGTAGTTGTCAGAATTATTGGTTACTCGCGGGTAATCCCTTGGGACACTGAAACATCTACTCGAGTATGATAGCCTCGTGTTGAGCACCAGCGTGTCAATTTATCATAAAGATATGAGTAGTGACATGTGATATAAAATTCATAATATTATTCGCTCGTTGTTTTATCGGATTCCCTGATAGGATATCTTGCGTCAGATATTTCACTACTCGAGTACTGTACTCGTACAGTACATACAGCTTCGCAGAAGACCGTATACCTACCCGGGGGATGCCGGCATGTTGCCACGATTCAAGTTCTGGGGTAGAGCGAGTGATAGATAATGAACAGTCCGTCGCGGGAAGCTGGATTGAATGAAATCGGTCAGTAATATCTATCTTTTTAAACAACAAGGATTATGGCAGCGATTTGGACAATGTTGACTTAGGCAGGGCAATGATGTAAAGATGAATTTCAATATCCTAACTGGAGAAATATTCTCACAAAGAACAACAATAGGGAATAAAAAAAAAACAGTAAAGACTGCTATGACCCAAATGCGAGTAACGGAGCAAAGAGAGATAGATTGAATAATGAATGAAAACAACTAACAAGGGAAAACAAGCTGCCTTTTATCCTTCCCGAGATCATACTGATCTGCTTCCACATACTTCTAGAGTATACCATGTTCTCTATCACATTCAGTCTCACTATTGCCCATTGTACCGCTTCGGCCGAGGATAACTGAATTCGACCAAGGGTATATTCTAGCCGAGGACATTCAGTATTTCCATATGATAGGGGTAATGTCCTAATATGGAGTCATCACAGGTATCGTCACAGATGTTATCGCATATGATGTTTGATAAGGAGGGCTAATGTAACCGGTACGGGTACTCGGTTATTAGTTTTGTTTTATGTTTTATTTTAAGTATCGTTTGATACTTGGTTTTGTTTTATGTTTTGTTTTAAGTATCGTTTGATACTTAGTTTTGTTTTATGTTTTGTTTTAAGTATCGTTTGATACTTGATTTTGTTTTATGTTTTGTTTTAAGTATCGTTTGATACTTGGTTTTGTTTTATGTTTTGTTTTAAGTATCGTTTGATACTTGGTTTTGTTTTATGTTTTGTTTTAAGTATTGTTTGATACTTGGTTTTGTTTTATGTTTTGTTTTAAGTATTGTTTGATACTTGGTTTTGTTTTATGTTTTGTTTTAAGTATTGTTTGATACTTGGTTTTGTTTTATGTTTTGTTTTAAGTATTGTTTGATACTTGGTTTTGTTTTATGTTTTGTTTTAAGTATCGTTTGATACTTGGTTTTGTTTTATGTTTTGTTTTAAGTATCGCTTTGATACTTGGTTTGTTTTATGTTTTGTTTTAAGTATCACTTTGATACTTGGTTTGTTTTAAGTATCATTTGATACTTGATTTTGTTTTATGTTTTGTTTTAAGTATCGCTTTGATACTTGGTTTGTTTTAAGTATCGTTTAATACTTGGTTTTGTTTTATGTTTTGTTTTGAGTATCGCTTGATACTTAATTAGATTTACCAAAGTGTATCAATTGATACCTTTAATTAGTTTCATTCTGTTAGGCAGAGACAACCTGATAGACTTCAGAGTTGTCTAGGCCGATCGAGATTCGTTTTTATAGACGGAGATTGTCTAGGAAGGCTCGGACTTTACTCGTTTCGTTTATGACTACTAAGAGCGAAGTAAAGTAGGGTAAAGTAAAGTAAAGTAAAATCGTAAGAACAATATTATATTGTTAAGGTCTCTTCTCCGTTGCTTGATGATGTCTAAAACTTGGGAGGCACTTCGATATTTATATTCCGCGTCTGAGTGTTCGCGGGCTACATCTAACTAACATACAACCATGTACCTTTTTCCAATATAACTCGCAACGTCGGGTTTTCTTCCAAGGTGCGAATACCTGGAGACCCTGAAAATTATCACACCCTCTTTGATAATTATAATATGACTATTTGGAAGTCATGCTGTTTCCAATAGTAATTATCTGATGGTGAGAGTCTTTTTAGACAATTGGCCCAATTCTCAAGTCAAACTGTGTTGGCTCCAATCGTCTCCTTTCTAGGTCATCTAACTTCAACTCTTCATAACTCCATACCCAACCGATAGATCTTTTCCAGAGGACTTCCTACTTACCTGCAGGAAGCCTTTCCATAGGGTTGGTAGATAATCCCTCGGTCGGTAACACTTGGTTACCATGGGTAATAGGATTCTGGTTACTGTCACCGGTTTGGGAGTCACCCCCTCGGTTGCAGTATGTACCTGAACCTAGTTGTAACACTCCTCGAACTCCATTGGGTTCGATGGTAGTATTCTCAGGAGTTCCAGACTCTTCTGGTTATCGTAGGATGGATGTGAATGTATTGGTCTTTCATTAAGATCCTTTACTATTCATCATCATCTCTTTGCGCGAAAACGTCCCGTTACTTACGGCCTATGCCAAAGATATCTCGTTCTTGAAGCCTAGTAACTTTCTGGATAGTTGACGGATTCACTCCGTTATACTTCCCAGACCTAGCCGAAGGTCCCCTCTTATATATCCTGCGAACAGGATCTGGTCGGACGGACGGCGGCGACGTATACGGTGTTATTTTAACACCTTCGATTCTGTGGTATAATACTCACAGGACGCAACTTAGATTAATATGTATGATGACGCGCGGGCCCCGTTAGGGGGCCGGAGGGGGGTGTTGGAGACCTGAGATTTCGATTTCGGGAGAGGTTAACCTACCTAGGGTGGTTCCTAGGTATCGGATCTCAGTATTCCTAACACATTCATGCTAGATATGAACGGATTTGTGTATTTAAAGACCACCTGATTCCATGATGGAAAAGACCGACTTCGATGGACAGTATTTCAATATACTTGGTTGAACAGTTACTTCTTGGTTCCTCAGTACACCCTCGAAGCCTCCTTTAGTTCTCAGCTCTCGCCTTCTCTCTGGAAGAGCAGGCCACCTTCTAACTATTGTATCTATTACCAATAACGTGATTAGCACCTTGTAAATATGTTACAGCTAACTAGTAGTCAAACATTAAGGTGTCAGAGTAGTTGATATGCCAAGAGGTTTAGCGTTGTGAAGTCATTACCATAGGGGAAATGTGTGGTGAGCAGCAAAGAAACACTTCCATCCAACGCTCCCATTCTACAAACACATATCATCCTCCTCTTCCCTAATCTCTTGAAAACAGAGAAACAAAAAAAAAAAAAAAAAAAACTATAATGTGGAGTAAGGAAATAAAATACCAAAAATAGAAAAAGATGATACTGAGAAAATTTTGAAAACAAGAAAAACTTTTCTCCCACTGCCTTGCAGTTTTACCTAACTCTTTTTCTTCTTGTTCTTCTATCATTTTATTTCCTCTCATGCATTTTCAATTCCTATCTATTTCCGGTATTACTCTACCTTCTCTTGTAGTAGTACCTTGGTCAACTGATCTGCTACCATGTTGCCAGTTGGTAAGTATTTCCAATTTTACCACTTCCTCTTCTACCTTTTCTCTGATAAAGTGTTGTTGAATACTAATATGTTTCATTTAATTGTGATATTCAGGATTCTTGGCTAATACCATACTACCTTGATTGTTGGCAAAAATTGTAATTGGCGATTGTGTCTAGCTCACTTGACTAATGCCTGAAATCTCTATGAGGAATCGGCGTATCCAAATGGCCTCCTTAAAAGCCTATATCAGTACCATGTATTCTGCCTCTGTTGAAGAGAGGACAACTATGGACTGTTGCTTGCTAGACCATGCAATCGCTGTCTGGATTATGTTTGGTCAGTTGTTGGTAATAGTACAATGGTAAGCACCTGTACTTCTTCTGTTTTCCTTATCCCCTGCCCAATCAGCATCACTAAAAACTAAAACTATTGGTGAACTACCCCTTGTAAATGGACTGAAGTGAAGTCCTTAATTACAAATTTTACTAATGTATTGTAGGAGGTGTTTTGCTACACTCATATGCCTAGTACTGGAGTTCAAACT